CCCCCCCCCCCCCCCCCCCCCCCCAAATATCCTACAAGGTATAGAGTGATGTAGGGGTATTCTCAGACATGTGATAACAATTGAACGAGTCCTTGTCAAACAAAATATTCAGGGTAAGAAATGGATCACACACAACAGTGCACACACGGCACCGACACCCCCAACCTGACAGGGTCTTTCGGTCATTCCACGGGGTGTCTAAACACACCATAGAGACATGGCGTTTTCATAACACTGATGCCTAATGTGAAAAACAACTCAAATAACAACATTCATCTACAGTAGACACAATTAGGAGGTAAACATGGAAAATACTCACCTGTTTGGTTTAGCAAAATGATCATGTTTGAAAACTCTTCAGCCAAAGGAGCTAGAACTGACCCTGGAAAAAACAACAGAATATCAAGTAACAAACAACGGTGGTATAACCAAAGCCTAATAATGTAAATAGAAGAATAGATGAATCAGACTACAATGTCACAAACTTGCCACAAAGTTTCCTTCCAGCACTCCACGTGATTGCTAACTTGAGAGTTCGATGGTTCCTTTGTATCGAAATAATTTTCAATAGGCATAAACCTGCCTCAGCCTCAGGTTCTGGCTCCCAACCTGCCCATATTTTTCAACCTATGGTACTCAATCAAATACTAATAATCAAGCACGTTCATAACAACCTGCAGTAACTTAACAAGCATATCATACCAACGGACAACATAACACAGAAAAACATGCCTATAAATTGTAGGAATCCCCGTTGACAAAGTTAAGCCATGGTGACAACACATTATACATAAATTTACCTCCGAAGCTACCAACATGATGCTTTCTGGCCAGTATTATCCCAAATTAGCAACATTCCAAAACTGAGTTTTACACCATGTATACTCTTCATCCCCCAGAATTCTTTGGCGAAAACAACAATGGTATTTAAACCTGAATGCAACTCAAGACAAAGGCTAACACATAAACCACAATATGCAACAAACTGCAGGAGACAACCCCATTACCAGAACTAGTCACATGCTGCCTCTGTGCACACAGCACCACGTTATTTAAATCTCTGTAGCTTCTATAATACTGAGGTTTATACTCGGAGGGAATCAAAATCTTGAAGACCTCACAAGTGATAATGTACCTTTTCCCTTTCGAATTGAAGTAAGTGTTTCATGAGATGTAAGCTACATACAAAAATAAGTACTCAGGTGTTGCCAGCAAACTAAGAATAATCCCAAAGACTTGTTAAATTTTTTTGGTACCAACTGTTTGGTATCACCATTATGTGGAACATAGGCATGAAATAAATGCAAAAGACAGATAATACAAAGAAATATATACTAGACCATTAGAAACTGCAAAAAGGTCAAATCCCCTTCCAACCTGAATTGCATGTATCCCAAAATGTAGCCTGTGTGCTGGCCCTCAACCAAGTAATTATTGTTCAAGACTATACAAACTTTCGGCAATATGTAAATACTCCCGTACAAGACCATGGACCGCTCAAAAGCATATCTTGATACAACATAAAGACAGTACACAGGACCAAACACTTATATGTGATAGTGGTGATGCAGTACAGTTTTGCATACATCAGCTCCCAAATGACAAGATGAGTCAGCTTTGCAGCGAGGAACAAGGTATCTTTGCTTCCCAAAGAGAGGAGTACATGGTAGAAACTGGCTCATGGCTCATCCAGCTAAGCTGCCGAACAAAGATCAGTAAGCATTCCCGGCAAAATTGGTCACCTCAAGAAACAGTCCGGCCATAACATACAGATGCGATATAAAGATTTTTTGCCCATTTCTCCTGCAAGAAACAACAGCATATGATACAGGTCTTAATTTCTAAATATATCTTAATATCCAAAGAAACGTAGAGGAAAAATGTGGAAATAATCAACCTTAACATGTGTACTGGGAAAAGCAGAAGTTCGAAGTGTCTCTTGTGTTTCATCTGCAGGTTTTCTTCTCGGCACACTAAGAACAAGAGCAGCCTGGTCCAAGGTGGCCGCAGTTGATGTGATGCGGTAACCAGCATCCCATCTCCTATGAATACCTTCACTTGGATATAAAAAGTCTAGTTCCACAACCTGAGAATATATAAAGAAATAACAATCATTAATTGTTTCACTTGCCAACAGATTTGGCACAAAATCGTACAGAAGTCCATGAATTGCAACAAAACCTGATCAGAGAACCCAGCCCCACGAGACATAACAATCGCCCATCTACTTCCTGCAGTGGCCATGGCAGTGACATAGAATCCCTCTCTCCATTTTTTGTTTATCCACTTGAATGGAAATGATTCACTGACTTTATAGGACTGCTGTAAATACTGGGTACCTAAATTTGACACAAGACAAGCTAAGTGAGATTAATACTCAGCATCAACAAATTGTTCGAGTTTTGAATAGTTCCACTAACCCTTTGACATTACAACCAAGGAGCTCCCATTGGTAGCCCCCGCTATAGCGCTGATGTAATAGTTTTTCTCCCATTGTTCCATAATCCATTCCTACAACAAAGAATCCGAAAGGATTAGTTTCCTAATTAAAACATAATTTACGTGACATAAGCTTTAATATATAAAAAAAAGTATGGTGCAGTAATATGCAGCCAAGCATCCAAATAATCTAAAGTCCATTTTGCACCAAATGTTTGTCCACAGCTAGGAATGAACACAAGCTACCTTGTGAAGAAAATATGGTGATAGCTCATAAACTTGAGAAGTAAATCCTGTCCCTGCGTCCATAATTAGTGCCCAGAGGTTTGAACATGATGCAACACTGCTAATAAATAAACCATCCTCGTTCCCTTTCACAATGTGTTGAGATAATCTCACATCTGCCACGTTATAGTGATATCTACAATGGAAAACAAGCAGAGCATTAGTCCTTTATGTATTGGCTGTAAACCTGATAGATTCTTTGTGCATGAGTTGTGCAAACCTCTGCTTCATAGGGCGGCGAGCATTGTAGACACTGATCCATTGAGTTGCAGGCATGCCCATACGAACTTTCTTCCTTGGCTGCTCATCATCATCTTCTTCCATTGTCAACCGTCCTCTCTTATGTCCAACTTGATATATAAGCTACACAACACCAAAAGTAATATGTTAGAGATACTCGAAACCAAACTTGAGATAAATCTTGACATAACAAAAAGTTTACCTTTTGAGCTCCATCAGTGTTTATTGGCCTGATATCTGGGTTCGGACCAACTATCCCATCGAAAAGAGAAACATATTTTGCATAGTTGGGTTCCTCATCAAACTTCAAGTTCACTACATACTCAACAAACTGCCGGAAGGGGGCAGGACAAAAGGAACAAAGATTATCTGGAGAAGTCGCCATCTTCTTCTTGCAAACCAGGAAACCTTTATTCTCGCCCTATCAAAAACAATTGTCAAAAGAAGAAAGAAATGACACCAGAAGAAAACCTTGTCTAATAAAAAATGCCAACCTGGAATCCCTGCCAAGGCAGCCTGCCACGAAGAAGAAAAATGAGTGTGTAAGCAAGGGATTCTAAATCATCCCTTCGACTCCCAGTTCTTCCAAGATGTGCATGCACACTAGCGTAACGCACTGTTCCCCTGCAGCATCAAAATGATTAAACAACAATGAAGATGATGAATAAAATCAGCATACAAACACAAGAGCAATAGGAAAGGGTCAGCTGAATACAAGATTGAGATCATACCTAAACACATCTGGTCGTTGATCATAGTCAACATGTAGGCCAGTTGAACTATCTCGCCACCGAGTGGCTGAAATGTAAAAACAGACAAAAGGCAATTAGATATACCATTTATCCCTGTATTGCTGTGTATGTATAGACTTTACAGCAGAGATCTAACAATATGGTTAAAATATTACCTAGTCCAAGGTCTACAAGAAACAGCCTTTTCTCATCAGATGTCCCTGGTGGACCAAGCAAAAAATTCTCAGGTTTAACATCCCCGTGCACATATCTACAAAAGTTGCAGCAGTCACATTGTATCACTACATTTTGTGAAAACAAAAATGTAGCATCAAAGATTTAAATAGATGCTAGCAATATAAGCCATACAGACAACTTTGTGAATGGTCTAATATTTGATTGTGTATTGTTATTGAGGTATTTAACAAAATAATGATGCTAAGTGGGAGACACCACTATGCTCTTCAACCTATGCCGCATAGCATAAGGGCAGTATTATTGCCACCATTTTTCATAGAATAGCACTGCCTAATGCCACGAGGATCTTATCTCCATTGTAATTTCCTTTTCTGAGACGCCCACTCCACCCCACCGCACCCCCGCAAAAAGGCCACACAAATACAGATACAGATGAAATTGACAATGCATGACCCCCAAGACAACAAAACTTAGTATGTCCATACAGAAAACAACCCATGTATGAAAAAAATGTAGTTATTAGGGAAACAAAATGTCATATAATCACCCTCTGGAATGCATCTTCTCTAATATGGAGATTGCTTCAATGGCAATGCATGCAACCATTTCAATGGACATCCTGAAATTGACAAAGCAAAAATTCGTATCAGGTTAACCGTAAGTTGATTCAAGACACCAAAAATTACTATATAAACTTTTCCAGAGAATCCCTCTTCAAATGGAGCTTACGTGTGAGAATTGTTATTCCAAACGTCCCATAAACTAGGCCCAAGCATATCCATAACCTGCAAAGGTTGTGAGCTTTCTGTCATGCTTCTTTATTGAAAACAGAAAGACTCAGAGCTACAAATGCACTATAAGGAAATCGAACACTGCACACAAAAGCCAATAACCCATACCATTATGTAGTAATCCGCTTGACGTCCCTTGTAATGTACACGTGGTACACCGTGACTACCTCCAAGTGCGCTGGTCCAAAGAGCAAAGAAAGCATATGTTACAACCATGCTTTAACTAAACCCTGGTAGTAAAGCCGCCATATAAATCAACATATAACAAGATAGAAACCAAAAAACTCACTTGTAGACTTGCCACTCATAAGGTGGTCCATAGTTACAACCTTTGCTGCTTCTATGCTCAAATTTCAAGGCTACCTAAAATATTGACAGAGAGTTATATGGTAACCAGGTTAAAAACCAGTGCTAATTAATGTATTGAGTGAATACACCAAGAATATGTAAACATTATACCTCTACAGCTCCAGGACCAGTTCTTTCATGCGGATTGGAAGGATTAGTGCGACGACCAACATACACTTGCCCAAATCCTCCTTTTCCCAGTTTCCTCTCGATCCTATACATTGGTGAACCACCAACCTGGACCTGTAGTACAGAAAACATCAAATATCCCGAGAAACAAATAACAGATTCCCAGGAGCCTCAGATACAAATAACCTAATCTTTATTATAGTATTCAACTAGATTAATTTCCTTCAAAAAACTCTTTTAAGTTGGCAATTAAGCAAAAGGGTCATCTTGAAGTCTTAAACATGTAATTCTCTTGTACTATCTAGGTAATAAAAAGCTTTAGATAAACCAAGCTCATTAGCAAGCTTCATCGTCCTCTATAACAATCAAAACAATCAATATTGCTTACACAGTAACAGCACACACTCTCATATAAACCAGTATACTACAGAAACAACTATTGTGATTTAGAACTACCTTCCTGCTTTAAGAAGGCAGTATATGTTTCAGCTTCCAATAGTAAGTACTTTTAGCTGATGCAAAATGTGTCAGACTTGAAAAATTCGACAACGAACCAAAAGTCAGCTTCTCTTTCAATTTCCTTCCACACAAACTTCTCAGACAACAAACACTTCACACACAATTCGAGCGGTTAAAACAAGCTGATGGAACAATTGGCAAACCGCTTCTAAAAACACAATCCCCTTATAGAAATTTTTTTTAAAAAAAATTGGCAATAACCATCCTAAAAACTCTGTTTTTATTACCAAGAAAACGTCTTAAAGCAAGTGAAATCAAATTTCTCAGTCACAGAACTCATCTGTATACAAAATCCACGGCACAAAACTCTCCTCACATCCAACACATTAAAAAATTATTTATCTTCAACTGAAATTGTAAAATATCATTTTAAACCCAAAACATAACAAACCAGAAAACCACCAAAACTCTCCAAAATTCATTTCTTTTTTCCCTGTTTCCTCAACAACCCATCACCAACCCAAAAAGATGGAAAAATGGTTTTCCACGCACAAAAAGATTAAGAGAGAGAGAGACAGAAAGATGATCATACCTTCTCAGGAAGTGGTGCAGTGCTGCCTTCATCCTCAGCACCCACACCCTTATCGCCGCTTCGGCCACCGCTATCGTACTCATCCATCTCTTTTTCCCCTACCTCTTCCTTCAAAACCCTAATTTCCTCTTCTTTCTGCTCCTCCCCTTGACCCTGACCACTCAACGACGTCGTTTTCTTCACAGCATTCTCATTCTCATCATCATCATCATCCACCACCACTACCGGCTGTACAATTCCTTTAACATCCGCGACTTCTTTCTGGTTATTCCCCCTGTTGTTGTTCTGTACAGCTCTCCTCCCTCCCGGTCGCCTCTGCCTCGTCGCCCGTACAGTTCTCGGCTTCTTGATGTCCGGTTCGTCTAGGTCCGGCTTGATCGTTGGTCGACGGCCTCTGCGCACACCGCTACGCAGTTGAGGCATATCGATCGTCCATTAATTTGGTGAAAACCCAAAACCGGCCTTCATCAAGCTTTTAGATTGAACCTGATCGCACATGAAAGATCGATCCAGTACTAGAAAAGAAAAAAAAAAAATCAGAAAATGTAAAAAGAGAGAAATCGGATGATCGGCGGTGTGTATGTGTAGATAAACGCGTGGAGAGAGAGACAATTAGGGTTTGGATTTGGGAGATCTGTGGAGGGAAATGAAAACAATGGCTCCAAAGTGTTCTCTAGAGAGTTGTAGAGATGGGAGAGGGAGAGGGAGAGGGAGAGAGCCAAACGCTACCCTGATATTTTTTATTTAACTTTTTTTTCATATTTTCCAGGTATTTTCTTGGGATAATTACAACATAGGTCCTATAGTTTGGATCTATTACAAAAAACATACCTTCAAAGTTTGAAAACTTTGAATTTTCTCTAGTTTGAGTTTTCTACTAAAATACGGTTCTTCCCTTTGTACTATGATTTCTAACTTATTTCTCCTTTATGATATTAACATAAGAGCTTAGTTTGAACCCATATTTTCTATATAAAAGTATCTTTGCAACATATGTTTTTAAGGGTTTTTAGTCAAAACGTATTTTGCACACATGTTTTTATATTGGAGAACATGTGTTTAAATTACATTTTTAATGTGATCAACAATAAATTGAGAAATAATTCAAAAAGAATGATAACAAAAGAAAATAACATCCAAAAAAATCCTTGTTTTGATAAATATACACCTCTTATTTGATTTTTCATTTCACAATTTTCTCGTGACATAACTTTTTAGAGAATAGAGATGGTGAACTTTTGGAGATGATGTCATCTATGTTTTTGTTCCCAACTATTTATTTTGCCTTATTCGACAAAAAAGAAACAAACAAACAAACTCGTCACCTCTTCTTCACTCTTATGTCGTCTAATTCTTTATATTCTTCTACTACAACACACACCCCAAGTACACACCCTAACCCCCTTTTGAAGTTTAACACTTTCTCATTTTTGGTTTTGCAAGTATAAATGGGTCGTGAGTCAATACACTCCTCATCTCTCTTCTGTCTCATTTTAAGGTGACACACTATTGTTGATAATCGGTTCTATTTTAAATTAGGTCTCTACTTGTATGCTCTCTCTCATACTTAAATATATGTGCATACACACATTTATTTGTTGGTAGAAACTTCAAGGTGGTTTGCTAGAACAATTGTGTTTCTTTCTTAGAGTTTCATCGTTTAATTTAACAAAAGAATTAAAACTAATATTTTCTAGAGGCCTAATTTCTACAAGGCTTGATGCAAGGTGTGCATGCCAATTAGTTCATCTCTAAATTAGTGACACGAATGACGCACCAGTGACCACTCAAGAGAAAAATAAGGGGAGTGATTGTTCAGTGCTAAAAAGCATAGGTAAATACCTATCCTAGAAAAATTATCCTTATACATTCGTCAATTTTCGGGTCAAAACGTTTGGACCGAAACTTCAATCCAAGTATTGGCCAAATTTAGATTGATTTGTGACCTTGTTGTCTAGTACTACTTCGAGTATTATAAATCTAAGCTCAAATACTACTTTTTTCCTAGTTAGACTCAAGTTACGAATACTTCCTAAATAGTGTTACTTTCAAAAACAAAAGAACCCCTACTAGCATGCGCCTAAATCACTTCCACAACCCCCCCCCCCCATTTCCCTATCCTCATTCTGTCACGTTTCCTTCCACTCTCTATCCCATGTCAATCTCACTCCAAAAAAATCCTAAGTTTATGTTATCTCCACCTTCAAATTCAAGACACACACGTGCACGTGTGTTTATATGCATTAACAATCTAGATGCCTGTGATTGAGGGACTTGGGAAAGAGAAGCATTATCAATCTAGATGTTTGTGATTGAGGGACTTGGGAAAGAGGATTCTAAGATGGAGAATTTTTTTGTAGTGTGGAAGATGAGGTGGGCATTTAGCAGTGCCGTGTATAAAAACGAGAGCAAATGAATGAGATGTTGATTAGATTGCGACTATTTAGCAACATAGCACTTTTGTCATAATCTATATTTACCATGAATAGTTTTAAATGGGTTACGATCTTTGATTTATAAAATTTAAAGTAACTAGTACTTGCACACGTGCGTTGCACGCACGTAAACAATTTTGAAAATAGATAATTGGATAGTAAAATTGTGGTATGGATTATCATCTTATTTATGGTATACCTGAAACATAACTAATTTGCTTGAGTGTTTAGAAGTAACAAATATCTTCTAATTTTACATCCGTCTATTATTACTGTTAATTTCCTATAGTACATAAAACACAACAAGGATGTTAATTCACTTGCATATTTCGTAAAAATTAAAAAACATGGTACCANCAAAGAGCAAAGAAAGCATATGTTACAACCATGCTTTAACTAAACCCTGGTAGTAAAGCCGCCATATAAATCAACATATAACAAGATAGAAACCAAAAAACTCACTTGTAGACTTGCCACTCATAAGGTGGTCCATAGTTACAACCTTTGCTGCTTCTATGCTCAAATTTCAAGGCTACCTAAAATATTGACAGAGAGTTATATGGTAACCAGGTTAAAAACCAGTGCTAATTAATGTATTGAGTGAATACACCAAGAATATGTAAACATTATACCTCTACAGCTCCAGGACCAGTTCTTTCATGCGGATTGGAAGGATTAGTGCGACGACCAACATACACTTGCCCAAATCCTCCTTTTCCCAGTTTCCTCTCGATCCTATACATTGGTGAACCACCAACCTGGACCTGTAGTACAGAAAACATCAAATATCCCGAGAAACAAATAACAGATTCCCAGGAGCCTCAGATACAAATAACCTAATCTTTATTATAGTATTCAACTAGATTAATTTCCTTCAAAAAACTCTTTTAAGTTGGCAATTAAGCAAAAGGGTCATCTTGAAGTCTTAAACATGTAATTCTCTTGTACTATCTAGGTAATAAAAAGCTTTAGATAAACCAAGCTCATTAGCAAGCTTCATCGTCCTCTATAACAATCAAAACAATCAATATTGCTTACACAGTAACAGCACACACTCTCATATAAACCAGTATACTACAGAAACAACTATTGTGATTTAGAACTACCTTCCTGCTTTAAGAAGGCAGTATATGTTTCAGCTTCCAATAGTAAGTACTTTTAGCTGATGCAAAATGTGTCACACTTGAAAAATTCGACAACGAACCAAAAGTCAGCTTCTCTTTCAATTTCCTTCCACACAAACTTCTCAGACAACAAACTTCACGCNCAGTATATGTTTCAGCTTCCAATAGTAAGTACTTTTAGCTGATGCAAAATGTGTCAGACTTGAAAAATTCGACAACGAACCAAAAGTCAGCTTCTCTTTCAATTTCCTTCCACACAAACTTCTCAGACAACAAACACTTCACACACAATTCGAGCGGTTAAAACAAGCTGATGGAACAATTGGCAAACCGCTTCTAAAAACACAATCCCCTTATAGAAATTTTTTTTAAAAAAAATTGGCAATAACCATCCTAAAAACTCTGTTTTTATTACCAAGAAAACGTCTTAAAGCAAGTGAAATCAAATTTCTCAGTCACAGAACTCATCTGTATACAAAATCCACGGCACAAAACTCTCCTCACATCCAACACATTAAAAAATTATTTATCTTCAACTGAAATTGTAAAATATCATTTTAAACCCAAAACATAACAAACCAGAAAACCACCAAAACTCTCCAAAATTCATTTCTTTTTTCCCTGTTTCCTCAACAACCCATCACCAACCCAAAAAGATGGAAAAATGGTTTTCCACGCACAAAAAGATTAAGAGAGAGAGAGACAGAAAGATGATCATACCTTCTCAGGAAGTGGTGCAGTGCTGCCTTCATCCTCAGCACCCACACCCTTATCGCCGCTTCGGCCACCGCTATCGTACTCATCCATCTCTTTTTCCCCTACCTCTTCCTTCAAAACCCTAATTTCCTCTTCTTTCTGCTCCTCCCCTTGACCCTGACCACTCAACGACGTCGTTTTCTTCACAGCATTCTCATTCTCATCATCATCATCATCCACCACCACTACCGGCTGTACAATTCCTTTAACATCCGCGACTTCTTTCTGGTTATTCCCCCTGTTGTTGTTCTGTACAGCTCTCCTCCCTCCCGGTCGCCTCTGCCTCGTCGCCCGTACAGTTCTCGGCTTCTTGATGTCCGGTTCGTCTAGGTCCGGCTTGATCGTTGGTCGACGGCCTCTGCGCACACCGCTACGCAGTTGAGGCATATCGATCGTCCATTAATTTGGTGAAAACCCAAAACCGGCCTTCATCAAGCTTTTAGATTGAACCTGATCGCACATGAAAGATCGATCCAGTACTAGAAAAGAAAAAAAAAAAATCAGAAAATGTAAAAAGAGAGAAATCGGATGATCGGCGGTGTGTATGTGTAGATAAACGCGTGGAGAGAGAGACAATTAGGGTTTGGATTTGGGAGATCTGTGGAGGGAAATGAAAACAATGGCTCCAAAGTGTTCTCTAGAGAGTTGTAGAGATGGGAGAGGGAGAGGGAGAGGGAGAGAGCCAAACGCTACCCTGATATTTTTTATTTAACTTTTTTTTCATATTTTCCAGGTATTTTCTTGGGATAATTACAACATAGGTCCTATAGTTTGGATCTATTACAAAAAACATACCTTCAAAGTTTGAAAACTTTGAATTTTCTCTAGTTTGAGTTTTCTACTAAAATACGGTTCTTCCCTTTGTACTATGATTTCTAACTTATTTCTCCTTTATGATATTAACATAAGAGCTTAGTTTGAACCCATATTTTCTATATAAAAGTATCTTTGCAACATATGTTTTTAAGGGTTTTTAGTCAAAACGTATTTTGCACACATGTTTTTATATTGGAGAACATGTGTTTAAATTACATTTTTAATGTGATCAACAATAAATTGAGAAATAATTCAAAAAGAATGATAACAAAAGAAAATAACATCCAAAAAAATCCTTGTTTTGATAAATATACACCTCTTATTTGATTTTTCATTTCACAATTTTCTCGTGACATAACTTTTTAGAGAATAGAGATGGTGAACTTTTGGAGATGATGTCATCTATGTTTTTGTTCCCAACTATTTATTTTGCCTTATTCGACAAAAAAGAAACAAACAAACAAACTCGTCACCTCTTCTTCACTCTTATGTCGTCTAATTCTTTATATTCTTCTACTACAACACACACCCCAAGTACACACCCTAACCCCCTTTTGAAGTTTAACACTTTCTCATTTTTGGTTTTGCAAGTATAAATGGGTCGTGAGTCAATACACTCCTCATCTCTCTTCTGTCTCATTTTAAGGTGACACACTATTGTTGATAATCGGTTCTATTTTAAATTAGGTCTCTACTTGTATGCTCTCTCTCATACTTAAATATATGTGCATACACACATTTATTTGTTGGTAGAAACTTCAAGGTGGTTTGCTAGAACAATTGTGTTTCTTTCTTAGAGTTTCATCGTTTAATTTAACAAAAGAATTAAAACTAATATTTTCTAGAGGCCTAATTTCTACAAGGCTTGATGCAAGGTGTGCATGCCAATTAGTTCATCTCTAAATTAGTGACACGAATGACGCACCAGTGACCACTCAAGAGAAAAATAAGGGGAGTGATTGTTCAGTGCTAAAAAGCATAGGTAAATACCTATCCTAGAAAAATTATCCTTATACATTCGTCAATTTTCGGGTCAAAACGTTTGGACCGAAACTTCAATCCAAGTATTGGCCAAATTTAGATTGATTTGTGACCTTGTTGTCTAGTACTACTTCGAGTATTATAAATCTAAGCTCAAATACTACTTTTTTCCTAGTTAGACTCAAGTTACGAATACTTCCTAAATAGTGTTACTTTCAAAAACAAAAGAACCCCTACTAGCATGCGCCTAAATCACTTCCACAACCCCCCCCCCCCATTTCCCTATCCTCATTCTGTCACGTTTCCTTCCACTCTCTATCCCATGTCAATCTCACTCCAAAAAAATCCTAAGTTTATGTTATCTCCACCTTCAAATTCAAGACACACACGTGCACGTGTGTTTATATGCATTAACAATCTAGATGCCTGTGATTGAGGGACTTGGGAAAGAGAAGCATTATCAATCTAGATGTTTGTGATTGAGGGACTTGGGAAAGAGGATTCTAAGATGGAGAATTTTTTTGTAGTGTGGAAGATGAGGTGGGCATTTAGCAGTGCCGTGTATAAAAACGAGAGCAAATGAATGAGATGTTGATTAGATTGCGACTATTTAGCAACATAGCACTTTTGTCATAATCTATATTTACCATGAATAGTTTTAAATGGGTTACGATCTTTGATTTATAAAATTTAAAGTAACTAGTACTTGCACACGTGCGTTGCACGCACGTAAACAATTTTGAAAATAGATAATTGGATAGTAAAATTGTGGTATGGATTATCATCTTATTTATGGTATACCTGAAACATAACTAATTTGCTTGAGTGTTTAGAAGTAACAAATATCTTCTAATTTTACATCCGTCTATTATTACTGTTAATTTCCTATAGTACATAAAACACAACAAGGATGTTAATTCACTTGCATATTTCGTAAAAATTAAAAAACATGGTACCAACATGCTTATATCGGCATATATTCAAATAATATAGGAAACCAATGCTAAAAAATGACATTATTTCTTAATATCTAAAAGATGAATCAGTTTGTCAAGATTCTGAATCAAACAAGAACAAACACCAAGTTAAATCCAATTTCCACAATTAGGCTGCACTTGTATTGTAAAATCTAATGAGCCGACTTGCACAATGTCAAGTAATCAAGTAACATGGTTTTCAAATTTTCATTCAAAAGCTAATGTAAAAGTTTAAGCATTGTGGCATGATGATACACCCAGAAAAAAATATTGTTAAATCTTTGGGTCATATCTTTGGGGCGAAATACAAATAAGCAAAACAGTTGAAGCCTTAGAAAAGAAACAAAATTTTCAAACAGAAGGACCAAACTAATGATGCTCACATAGCCATTGGATCGTTGAGTAGCTGCTTTGACTTCCTCAATTGTAAACATTGTCACAAAACCAAATCCACGGTTTGAGAATTATAACTTTGAGAATAGATAATTGTACGGTAAAATAAAATTGATTGAGACCGATAAAAGAAAATATCAGTCATACAACTAATTTCAAGCACGGGCCCAACTATAAACATATAAAAACGATTCAAATAAAATATCATATCAATAATTCATCATCAAAATGTATAATCAAACAGCGACACGCCATAAAGAGTCTTCAGTAACACTTGCATGATTTTTTTTCTTAAGTACAATCATTTCATCAAAGTCCAAAGCTTGGCACTAAATATTAAGAAATTGCACACTTCAGCATCACCTCCAGCTTGTTACAATTAGATGTATGGGTTCCACATTTGCCAGATGCACTCCCAACCTCCTGATCCTCTTGTCGCAGTCCACCGGTCCCCTTCCACAATTTGACAATAGATAAATTGCATAGTAGAATTGCGGCCTGGTTTATCATCTTATTAATAGTACACCTCAAACCTCACAAGGCCACTACCACCCTTCATTTCCTATAGGACATAAAACACAACAAGGAGGTTAACTCACTAGCATATTTTGTGAAATTTAAAAAGCAAAGATTGAGTTTGTACGGTTCAAGAAAATAACATTTTATTGATCAATACTATTTTTTTAATTATGAGTTGGTATCATAACGTTTGGCGATAACCTTATTTATGGATTCTTCCAATAATACTTTTTAGCATTAGCAATATCTATATATCTTTATGCCATTGATAGAATTTCAATGAACTATTATATTGGGCTTTCAAATCAGTTTTGATGACTCTTATCATGTTTTGGAAGAAGACTATTATAATTATGATAGGACTCCAGTTAAAATCACACATAGAACACAATGAGAAGATCTAAACCAGGGTAAATGAAATGTATCATGTCCTTATAATAAAAATTCCCACCAAACGACACATAACATGCTACGATTTTTATATTTGCTTATTTCAAATGTATAGAAGTTTCCTTCAGTTCTCCAACTAGATGCTATTTATTCTCTTTTCCAATCATTATTCTCTGACACAAACTTTACCTCCTCACCTTTTGCATGGTCAACACTCTTAAGGGTTCCAAGAGATTCATATAATGTATTCGTAGTGCTTACCAAAAGCTAAAGTCAATATTTATTGTCCTAGTTCTGTGTCAAACAAGATTCACCTTGGCTTCTACTCAAGGGTAACGATAATCTGGTATAGACTCCACAACCTATTGACTATGATGTGAATGTTACCTGGGGTTGGGGTTAACAGTGAGTTTAAGATTGCTAAGGATAAGAGACATTCATTTAAAACTTAAGCAGAGACAAAGACCAAGGTACAAGAAGAGTCCCTCATTCTGCTATTTGTTAATTGCATGATTTAATAAGGGAACATCAGATTGCACATCAATCATGGACTAAGATTGTGCAATTATGTTTTCCATATGTTAATCACCCAGATTTTTTGTTGTTAACTCTTCCTAAATACATAAAACATTCTATTCAGTATTTCACCACTTTTGTAGCAACTAAATAGAATAATGAACTAATTCAAAAATAAAATCACTAAAAAGAAAACACCGATGTAAATCATATCTAATTCAGTATTTGTCTTTGAGATGGATTTTATAATTCTATTCTCTCAGTGATCTCATCAGCAAAACAGAATAATAAGCAAAATCCAAAATGAAAACTCTCAGAACCAAACCAATCCAAAAATTCTGATATAATAATTTAATCACATGTAGCAGTTACCTGGTCAGAGGGAGGGGGTGAAGCTCCTCTAGCGGTGGAGAGCTTGAAGAAGAAGAAGAAGGTTTGCTATGTAAAGTTATGAGATTTTTTGGGTTGGTACATGTAAAGTTAAATTTTGTACAAAGGGTATAAAATTAGAATATGATAATGACTAAACACAAAAATTACGGGAAGAATTTATTAACAAAAACTCATTACCTGATGAGCCAGTGTAGTGATGGTTGTGTAATGCCAAGACACAAAAGGCAGCCAGAGTCTAACAGAGAGGGGCAAAGGGCGATGACAAATAGGATTTCGAAGAATTTTTTGGACAAAGGAGGGCGATGGCAAATAGGGTTTCAANATGGGAGAGGGAGAGGGAGAGGGAGAGAGCCAAACGCTACCCTGATATTTTTTATTTAACTTTTTTTTCATATTTTCCAGGTATTTTCTTGGGATAATTACAACATAGGTCCTATAGTTTGGATCTATTACAAAAAACATACCTTCAAAGTTTGAAAACTTTGAATTTTCTCTAGTTTGAGTTTTCTACTAAAATACGGTTCTTCCCTTTGTACTATGATTTCTAACTTATTTCTCCTTTATGATATTAACATAAGAGCTTAGTTTGAACCCATATTTTCTATATAAAAGTATCTTTGCAACATATGTTTTTAAGGGTTTTTAGTCAAAACGTATTTTGCACACATGTTTTTA